GGGAGGGACATCAGAGATTCAAATCAAACTGTATCTATAAAGCACTTTTTAAACACACAAGGTAACATTAAGTGCTTCAGAATTCAAAAAACAACATCAATACTGCACTTAAGAAGACGTTTAGGTCGTTTTTTTCTTGTTTACCTAATTGCATTTATGTTTGTTGTTGACATGTGACATGCTGGCCAGTTAACCAATCAGAGCAGACCTGAAAATAGGAATAAAAAGGCCTCACCATGTGACACAGTGTGCTGCAGTGAGGATCCAGTAGGGGGAGATGATGGCTCCTCCACAGCGGTGGGACACCCCCACCCTCAGGCTGACCTGCCAGGGAGAGGCCTGCTGCCCCCCCGAGGCCCTGCTGGAGTTTAGCCCCCTCCCACAGTCTGAGGAGGAAAGAGCTGTTAGAGAGGATACATTCACTGCTGCAGGGGTCACACAGAACCAGCTCTTTATTCTATCAGTATAACAGATACAATAATTTATAATAAAGCTTCAAAGGCTTTAGTTTCAGAAATGTATATTTGTATATGTCATCCTTTACATGTATGACTTATGCACCGGTATATTAGAAACAGTAATAACATACCAGTGCAATGCAACGTCACCACGCTGTTGTTGGGACAGGTTTTGCTGCAGTTGGCAAAAAAAAGAAGACATTTGATGTGTTATTAGGTTCATTTTGATTCAAAATGTACAACTTTATCTGAGTTCATCTCCACCAGTTCACTAACCTGAGCACGAGCTGATGCATTATGGGTGCTGTAGGGTTGAAGTCAGACTTTAATATTAGGAACCCATCATCAGTGTCAGTCTGCTGTTGGCCTGATTCAAAATATGTGTCCCTGTTAAAGCACAGAACAGAAAACATCAAACACAATAGTGCTTTACATGTCAATAAAAACTGTTTAAGCTTCTATATTAAAACCTGGCCTAGCAACATACGGTATTCAAACCAGTAGGCAAAAGTTTGAATATGTTCAAAGTTACTGAACCTGAAAATAAGTTTTTTAAAACAAACATACCTGCTGTATCCGACCTGCTGGCAGCTGGCTCTGCCCTGCTGCTCGCTCCAGTCCTGAGAACAAACGCTCCTCCAGGTTCTACCCTGAGTCCAGTAGACCTGCAGCAGGAAGCTGGAGCCATGCAGCCGCACTGAACACACACACACACACACACACACACACACACACACACACACACACACACACACACACACACACACACACACAACACACACACACACACACACACACACACACACACACACACACACACACACTCTCAAACACACACACACACACACACACACACACACACACACACACACACACACACACACTCTCTCTCTCTCTCTCTCTCTCTCTCTCTCTCTCTCTCTCTCTCTCTCTCTCT